GTAAAAATATGTAAGAAATATGCAATACCACATATGCAGTCATTAATGTGCAATATCATATATAATTAAAGTGCAATTAAATGAACAAAATAGTAATCTCAATATAATTTACATCTCAAAGCAAATTGATCAATGTCTTTAGTACAGCAAGTCGCAATAAACAAATAATAGGCAGTGTTCAGCTGGATGAATCATATGCTTCTACTTCTTCTTGCACACCTTCCTCTGCGGTCACATATTCATCCATTTCAGGTTCACTATCCTAATAAATCTCTTGTTTCTCATCATCTAATTCCTCATTCTCCATATGGATAGGAATCATGTCTAACTCTGCTGCTGAATCAAAGAGATTGCTTGGCACATCATCCTCCGCAACATTTACGGGCAGTACATCTTCCATGTCAGCTTGGAATGGTTCAGATATTTCATTTAATTGTGACTCTTTGGACTCTAGGATAATATTTCGGGCTTTGATTTTTATAAATGTTATCCACCCTGTTAGGATATAGGGTATAATGTGTAATAAACTTGTTCAACCTTATAAGCAAGTATAAATGGGTCATATCCCACTGTATATCTCTTTGATTGATGAACCTCAACATTTCCATATTTATCCACTCTTTTCCCACGTGGGTGTTATCTAACCAATAACATTTAAACAGAGTCACCTTCTTTTCCTGTAACACCCCGTTCTAGAACCGGTTTGTTAACATTGCATTATGATATTAAGCGCAGTTACAATCACATCGGTTCAATTAAAAATCCGGATAAATTTTTCTTTTTGAACAAAGCCGAATTTAAAATAACCAATTGCGTGACCATAACCATATGACATTGTGGAATAAATGAAATTAAGCTTAACATCATATTCTTATTTTATTTGACCACATGTCGTTAAATGTCTTTAACTCTTTTCTTGTTATGTGAATTATAACTTCCTTTATAATTATTATCTCTTACCATATTATAGATCTCTTTATTAGCTTCAAGTGGATTCAAACCGTGCTCAAATCAGAGCTCCGTAGCTCGAGTTGTGTCAGTTTTACTAAACTACGTTTTTATAAATTTTTTGTGTAGCGCATTTTAGCGCTCAACTGGGCGTTAAAACGCCCAGAGGCAGAGAATTTGGCCTTCTCTAGGTATTCAGCGCGCTTTAGCACTCAACTTGCGCGATTTAACGCTCAACTTACGCGCTAAAACGGCCAAGGGCAGAGATTTTCCCTCCATTTCATGAACACAGCGCGCTTTAGCGCCCTTATCAGCGCTGAAACGCTCTCCAACTGGGCAACACATGCCCTCCCTGTTTCCATATAACTTTATGAGAAAATTTCTCCCTCTTTCACCATCCTCTTAACACCTAATAGGCATTATACAACCACTTCAATACATAATTCTTAGCTATTTCAAGACACACAATTATCAAATAGGCACCCATGCCCTTCCATCATATCTACAATAAGTACCATATTACACAATATCCAAGTGTCATTAATACGTAACCATGGGACTTAGCTACAAAACACTATGACCAAATCTTTGGCTCCCATCAACAAAAGAGACATCAAAGGAAGTGAGCATAGGCTAAGTCCACCAAAATAAAACATGATGTTCACATATCATTTGGCTTTCAAATGGGAATCCTATACATGGAACTACTAAATGATATGCATAAACAAAATAATGCAACATCCTCATGTATCAATCTAGTCCAAGTATGGCCACTTGCCACCAAAGGCTCCTGCAGCATCTATACCTGAAAGGGGGTCCTCACAACACGGGGTGAGATATACGAATACATCTCAGTAAATCAGGGGTCCTTGGAGTATTTCTCCACTTATATTTCACTCACAATATAATAGCAATAATTGTAAATAATACAGTAAATACATATCCATGCAGTGTGTCAAACATCTCCAGGAGACATCCCTCGAGCTCTCATGTTGTCCTAAGGATACTCAGATGCGAATAGTCCTACTGGCCAGCTAAACTACCAAGTATGAATTACGCATCGTCATGCAATATACAGAACATACGAAAACACATCCTATGCCACACCCAGTGCATACACATACGTATAACAAAGCATTAAACTACTCTATTGCATTTACATACACTATCAACAACCACTACCCGTTCCGGGCTTGGTGAAATAATAAAGGGATCAACACCCAAGGTCCGATGACTTACCTCAATGAGCTTCAAAGCTTAACCTTTGTTCACTACCAATGAGCAATCAACCAAGCTTTACAACAATACCAACAATCAATACCTACATAAAGGTACTAGAAAATCTATCAAGGCAATCCAATGAATACCAATATTGTCATCAACCAACAAACCTATTCACACCACAATAGCATGAACTTACCAATTCAAGTGAGCTAATCAAGCTCTATGACTTCCTCCAATGGTTGGTCCTTCAATGTTGGTCCACAAGGCTTAAACATATCACCATAAGGGACACAATCAACCATCCAACCAAATCATAGCTCAACAATGCAAGAAATTCCACATGTCGAAGCATGAATTTTTCCAATATATTGAACAACAACCAAAAACGACAATCTAAGTCCATTTCTCCCGTTTATTTATTGTTCCTAACAATTTTACAAAGGAATTTAACTTCAATCTCTCTCTAACATACCTCATTATTCATGCATTTTCTTAAAACAAAACCCTAATGCACAAATCTTCCACAATGACAACAAGAGTTGGAGTTTTTACCACAAATACAACCCCAAGGGTGTAAGGAAGAGGCACCAAGCTCAAGGAACCAAGACTTCACCTCTAGCTCCACTATCTCCAAATTTTTGCCCCTCCCACCAAGAATATTTCACTCCACCATGGCTCCCACTTAAAAATAAGCTAGGATCAAGGATGAGGGGAAATTTGAAGTGGTTTAGGCTTTGGAATGGAAGGATTTGAGTAAGAAATGGATGAGTTATGGTTTAGAGCTCACAACCATGGCTTCTCACATTCTCCTTCATGGTTTGTGTCGTTGGAAGAAGAAGAAGAAATGAGATTGGATTTGTGTTTTGTCACTTATCAAAAATTTAGAAGTTGGAAACGAAATCAGCGAGAAAGTTAAGCAGAAAACAAGAAAGTTTGCACAAGAGCCCCTTTAGAAATTTTGAAGAAGAAGTCTGTGAGAACTATAGAGAACGGTTCATGCAATATCAAGAGGTAAGTTTTTTTTTCCATTTAATTGTGATACTCTTGTAAAGTCTTTCCATAAATTCTATAATAATTGCTTGTTATCACAAAAATAAAAATAAAAGTTCCAAGTTTTTTTAAAAGTTATTTGTAAACAATTCAAAACTTTACTTATTCGATTAAGAATGACAAAAAATAGACAAGGACACGATTGCTTCACTATTGCACTCAATAACCATAGACAAATGTTGTAAAACTTATGAAAACTATACTTATATGGTTTCATCTATTTTTGTTTTCAGGTTAGCAAATGATGGATATAGACACAATTGATTTTTCTCCCACGGACATGGAGACAAATTTCATTTCGGACAACAACTTGGTAATAGATTCTAACTCTCTTGATATGCCACAATCTTTTAGTGCTGAAGAAGTCATTGTTGAGCCTTATGTTGGAATGGAATTTGATTCATTGAAAAAAGTTGAACACTTTTATACGTTATTTGCCAAAGCGAAAGGGTTTAGAATTCGTACCCACTCTAGTAAAAAAAATTATTACATTTTTGTATGTGTTAGATAAGGTGAAAATAAGGTGAAAAATGATAATATAGTAGAAGTTAAGAAAAAAACTTCAACCATACGCTCAGGATGTCGGGCATCACTTTGTGTATCAAAGGATAAGAATAGAGAGGTATGAGTTATTAAATCTTTTGACAACAACCATAATCATGTCATGGCCAGTCCTAAGAGTGTGTCTTATTTGATGTGTTATAAAAAAATGAACGGGGCTGCAAAAAATCTTGTTGAAAAGTTCAATGCAGAAGGCTTACCGACTGGAAAGGTTGCTGCAATGTTCAATGGCAGTGATTTAGCTTTTTCAAATAGGGATTGTTGGAACCATTTGAGAAATCTTCGGAGAAAGAACTTAGATGTTGGAGATGCACAAGCTGTTTTCAATTACTGTAAACAAAAGCAAGCTCAAAACTCTAATTTTTTCTATGCAATATAATGTGATGATGATCACAGAATGATAAACTTTTTCTGGGTGGATGCTAGATCAAGGTTTGCTTATCAACAGTTTGGTGATGTTATTACTTTTGATACAACATATAGAACCAACAAATATAGCATGCCATTTGCCCCTTTCACGGGACTGAACCATCATCTTCAATCAATTTTATTCGGTTGTGCATTGTTACAAGATGAATCTGAAAAATCTTTTGTATGGTTTTTTGAAACTTGGCTTGAGGCAATGAATGGAAAGAAGCCTGTTTCTATGATAACTGATCAAGATTTAGCTATTGGAGCTGCTGTTGCCAAGGTATTTCCAGAAACACGTCATCGTCTATGCTTGTGGCACATTAGAAAGAAGTTTCCTGAAAAGTTTGCACACATATATCACAAAAATTCTACATTCAAGCGTGAACTGAAGAGGTGCATTCGAGAATCATCAAGTATCAAGGATTTTGAAGATGATTGGCAGCGCATAATGGTTGAGTATAGCTTGCTGGAAAATGAATGGCTTCAAAGATTATTTGATATTAGAGAGTCATGGACACCGGTTCATAATAGAAGCACCTTTTTTGCCGGTATGAATACTACACAAAGAAGTGAAAGCATTAATTCTTTTTTGGACTCCTTTGTTAATTCAACCACAACACTACGAGACTTTGTGGTAAAATTTGAGAAGGCCATTAACAATCGCTATGAGGCTGAAATAAAAGAGAATTTTGAGTCCCGACATAAGTCACGCACTTTGACTATTGGCTCAAAAATTGAAGAACATGCTGCATCAATTTATACAAGAAATGTGTTTGTTAAGTTTCATAATGAGCTTGTTAGCCATTTTACAAAGGAGAAGATTGAGAAAAATGGTTCACATTGTAAGTATCGGTATCTAATTGTTTTGATACTCGAGATTGTTTTATGGTTGATATAAATTTAGAGTCAAAGAATGCTACATGTGGCTGTCATCTTTTCGAATTTATGGGAATACTATGCAGGCACATTTTGGTGATTTTTCAAGCAAAAAATATTATTCGAATTCCTTGTCAGTACATATTGGAGCGTTGGACAAAAGAGGCCAACAAATGTATAGAGGTGGGTGACATTGAAATTTGGAATAATGAATCAAATGTTTTGAGAAGTATGAATGTGCAACGTAAATTTGACAAATTTTCTAATTGGGCTAAAAGATCCGAAGATGCATATAAGTTTATTATATCAAAACTTGATCGCATTTATAATATGGCCAGTACAATGGGAATGGAAATTGTAGATGTCAATGAAGATCCTATAGGGTCAAATCAACAGAATTTGACATGTGACACAACAAATGATGCTTCAGATTTTAATATCAAAGACCCATATGTTTCACATACAAAAGGAAGAAGAAGAAAGGATTTTGACAAAGTCCCTCTAACATGGAGGTTTAAGGGTGGTCTTGAATTATCGATAAACAAGGCATTGGTTAAAAGGAGAGCATGTAAGTCTTGTGGAGAATATGGTCACTACCAATCAACTTGCAAACAAAAGACAAGTCAGTGTAAGTTATATTGGCTTTAATTTCTTTTTATATACTTTAAAGACCTATGTTACCTGTAAAGTTTAGTTGGTTGTTTAATTGGTTTTTATATCTATATATTTATGTTGTTATTAATTTCCTTTATTAATATCTTTTTTTTTCATTTTTTTACTAGACTAATATGAAGATTAAATACAAAGAGCAGAAGTTGCATATGGCTCAGCATGAAAGTTTCTAATTTTGTGCCAGCAGACATTGTATCAGTAGGATTTTATTTTGGAGCTGTATGTATTTTTGAATGTTTTTAGAAATGTATTAAGATTTGTAACAACAGATATTGTATCAACAGGATTTTGTTTTGTCTGTTGTATCAGCAGATATTATATCTGTTTTTGTATCAGCAGATATTGTATCTATTTTTGTTTTGGATATGGCTAAAGCATGTAGTTCAGGTACCGGATGGCTAGTGCTAATATTAATATGTTGTAGTTTATATATAATCTCATTTTGATGGTAATTGCAGCATCTGCATCTGTTTCTCTAGATTCTTAGCAAGACGATTAGGATGCAGAACTGCCTAAAGGATGGTTTACTCTTGATTTTACCTTTATGAACTTTTTTTTTTTCTTGAAATATTTGTTGTCCATTTAGCATGAAAGAATTTTTTTTTTTTGAAACCATTTAGCATGAAAGAGTACGAAGTCAAGTCCGAGACATGGCAAATAGTCTTACTTGTGCCTAACTCATGTATGATTGTTCCACTTTTATGATAGCAATGCCATTTATCTGTTTACTTGTGCCACTTTTATAAGGGAACATGTATATATTCCCATAGACAAATGTACGCTTAGTTCTATATCCTCCAATCAAATCTGATATATTATGTTTTTATGTTTTGCACAGTTGGAGGAAAACAACTGCAGTTGTTTTGTATGAACTCCCAAAAAGAAGATAAAAATGTTTCTGCAATGGCTCTTCATCACAATTATAGCCTTTAATTTTTTTTTTATTGATTGCAAGAAGGCATCCATGTAAACATAATGAGACATCCATGTAAAATATATTTTAATTTAAAATATTTGTTTTAAGATATTAAAATAAAAAGAGCGTATAAATTCTATTAACCATCTACTACTAATTTGTCAAAAGCTTGCCTTGATACTCCATGTTCTAGAAAGAGACTTCTAATTGATCTAAAACTACAATTCCAATTGGCCTAAGTCTACAAAATTCATTACATAGAAATGGGATGCAATTACTCACTGGTCCTGCTGCCTCCTTATGAGAGGATTATAACTGCATCTATAACCATAAATAAATAAAAAAGATGGTCGTGATCATCCAGAAAAACCTAATACTTTTTTTTAAAAAAAAAAACTATTCATAAATAATATCCAAGACAAAGTTTTTCCTCTTCCTAATTTAATCTTTATTCTCTTCATCTCTAGAACCACCAACAACATTCTTAGCTACAGCCCTCTAGTTGTGAAGGCATTGTCAACAAGCCATGTTTGCGCCAAGTCCACGATACAAAATTTAAGAATGACCAATGTGCAAGAAAAGCTACTAGCCTAAGAAATCAGATAAAAAAAATCATCAAAGGTTCAATTTGCAAGGATATAGAGACTATATTATAATTATTGACTTGAAGACAAGAAGTGATAATTGTAAATTTAAACAAACAAAAACAAAAAATAAAATAAGTTTATTAGGGCATTGTGATTTATGGGCATAACCAACATGATAGTCCAGTTGAGATAATTTCTCAATTTCCACAACATATGCATTGGGATAAAAAAATGGAAACAAAGGGGGACAAAACTGGATGTAAACCAGCCTCCTCTTTCAATGTAGATTTTCAAAAGAATTGTTTTAAAAAAGGGTTTAACTACTCTTCTGTTGCTTTAGATAATTGTCTTCTGTCATACATACATGGATAAATGTGCAATCATTTTTTTGTTTTATTTTAAAAAAAAAGGGACCCATAGCTGACTTTGTTAGTGTAGGAAATTCAACTTCTCACGAGCAAAATGAGAAAAGTAAATCCCTTTAAAAAAAAAAATACACGTTATTAGTTCCCATTGTCCATTGCCTTTATACCCAAAACCCAAACAAAAAATCCAGGAATATAAAGAGAAGAATAATCGAAGGAAGATCATTGTTAGGGTTCGCATACCTATAACATGGGAGATCGACAAATCCTTGAGGGGAGGGGAGTATTCAGCGTAGGAGATAGAGAGAGTTGTCTAAGTTGTGGGCGAGGTGGAAGAGGCTGATGAAGACGCCGATAGAGAAGAGGGGGAAGAGTTAAGGTGGTGTTTGTGTTGGGAGAATGTGTTAAAATAAAAAATAAAAAAGGATGTCACGTGCTCACTACAGTTTAATAGATTACAGCCATTGGATTTAAGGTAGCTGAGTGGTTAAGATTGAGTGTAAGTTTAAAAATCTTACACTGGTGTAAGATGATCCTTCCCTATATAGGGGCAGGATCATCTTACACCGGTGTAAGAATAATAAGTCTTACACCAAATCTTAACCATTGATTTTCTACATCTAACGGTTAAGATTTATTAGGTATCACTCATTAATTAATTTTTAATTACTAATAAATCTCAACCATTGGATGCATGGAAATCAACGGTTAAGATTTGGTGTAAGATTTATTATTCTTACACCGGTGTAAGTTGATCCTAAATCATATTCGTTGGTTGAGATAACTTTATCTCCGGCTACTAAATCATATTCGTACAAAGATGGATCAACGGTGATAAAGGAAGAGAGAAAAAGGAAATCATAATCATTCAAAGGTGAATCGATTAATATATAAGGAAATAAATAAACAAAACGACGTAGTTTTGAGGTGACCGGATATAAATATATCTCAAGCAGCTTGACAAATAATTTTCTCATATATATATTGTAAAATGTATAAAAATGTATTTTATCAACCAAATATTAAAGATATCTTTTTGACTATTTTTTAAGAAATGATAACAAGCTTATGTTTCATTTTGGTCTTAAATCTTTGTGAAATTTATTAATTGATGGAATTTATTAACATTCTATTTTATATATACATAAGTGTGTATTTGACGTATCAAAGTAGATATTTTTATTGTTGCGTCTATTCACAAAGAGTGAACTGAGTATTATCAATTTTATTTTATTTTTATAAAGTCCCTTTTTGTCTCTAGACAAATTCATATATGGGTTTAGTATGTGTCCTTTTAAAGGGGGTAAGTTGTGTTTTTTTAATTTTTTTACTCTATGTATTCTCAATAATACATAGTTATAACATGAAAAGTTACTCTTTTTCACTTTTCACGTCAGCTGATTTAACTGAGGAGAGAAAAAAAAAACATCTTTTCATGTCATAATTATGTACTACCGATAGTACATAGAGAAAAAAAATTAAAAGAACACAATTTACATCATTTTAAAACAAATAGTTTTCCCTTCATATGTACTTTAAGAAAAAAGTGTATGTACCCAATGGGTGCAGCTCAGTTGGTAATTTGGCGCTGAGTTAGTGGGGTTGGATATGTGTTCGATTCCCGCTGAATGCATTCTTGGGGAGGGGGCTGAACCTTTAGCCATCACTGTTCCCCCGCACTCCGGATTAGTCCCATAGCCGGCTCAAAGAGTCGAAGCTCGTGGGGATACCGGAGGGAGCCAACTCGTCTCAAAGAGATAATTAGGGTTGGGTAACTCCAAAAAAAAAAGAAAAAAAAAAGTGTATGTCATGTAAAGTCGTATCATTTTAAGTGAGAGAAAGAGAGAGATAAAGGGGAGAAGAGAGTAGGGGGGAAAAAGTGTGGGTCTCATCTTTTTGTGAGAGTGAAATGATATAAATTATATCATTTAAAAAGACAAACACGTTTCCTGTACTTTAAACCAAAGAAATAATTGTCTAGATAAATATTCATCTTATGAAATGATTGAACATAACAAAGAAAGTAGAATAGGGGTGGTTGTTTACCAAAAAAAAAAAAAAAATAGAGGTGGCTGATTGGTTGAGAAAAGGTTCACTGAACAAGGGAAAAGAGAAAATAACTAGTTATGTTTATTTTTATTTTTTTATTTTTAGTACAAACTAGTTATGTTTATTTCAACTAACCAGAGGATGTAAAAGCTCCACAATAAGGGTGTGTAACTGTGTACCATAATTATTCAATTTTCTGACAGTTTTTGGAGAAGATATTTCGTACTTATTTATATGGTTAGAAAGATTTTTCGTGTAAAAAGAAAAATGTGCTTGATAACACAGTTTATTTTATTCATCACGAGAGAGAATGCACAATTAATAAATGGGGAAGAATATTGTAACAACCAACTAGTGTCAATCAATTTCACCGTTAGATTGATTATGTTAATCCAATGATTATATTTATTTTCATCTTTGTATGATTATGATTCCCTATATTTAATGCTTTTGTGATTCCATATATTTAATGTGAAAACATTAAATATAGGAAATCATAACCATACAAAAGTGAAAATAAATATAAAGTGAATATAAATTTAATACTTTATATTTATTTTCACTTTTTTATGGTTATGATTTCTTATATTTAATGCTTTCACATTAAATATAGAGAATCATAAAAGCATTAAATATAGGGAATCATAATCATACAAAGATGAAAATAAATATAACCGTTGGATCAACATAATCGATCCAACGGTCAAATTGATTGATAGTAATACTAGTTGTTGTTACAATATCCTATCCTTTAATAAATAATATGTATTTAGTCCTAATAACACATTCTACCACATGTGTACAGGAGAAAGTGTATATCATTTTGAAGGACATAAAGTTGTGTCATCTTAAATGAGAAAAAGAGATAAATCATGTGAGAGAAAAATGGGTGGAAAAAGTTTTAAAGGTGTAGGTCTCATTTCTTTGTAAGAGTGAAAGGATATAAGATGTATTATTTTAAATTACACACATTTTTTCATGTGTATTTAATAATTAAAGCGACAGAAAATATAAAAAAAAAAAAAAAAATCTTATTTCTACATATTTATATTTGTAAACTAGCGATTTATTATCTGAATTAGAAAATTAACTTGGTTTTATTAAATATTATTTTTAACCATTTATTAGAGGCGGAATACAGTCAAACAGTGAAAAATAAGAATGAACGACACTAACGGAGTGTTTGGTAGCTGTCTTCGTCCGAAATAGCAAGTCAAATTGGATAAGGATTTCATTATGACAACGTTTGGGAAAAAATTTAAAAAAATTATGCTTGCAAAACTGAGTACCGGGCAATGAAAATTGTGTGAAAAATTGCAGTGAGTGTACTGTGCATGATACTCACATCGAAGGTGGTAATATGTGGTTGCCTGGGAAAGAAAAAAATGAACTCAAAAATATTGTCCAAAATGACCCTTATTTACTGTTGACCATCACTGGTGAGTATCTTTCTAATCGTAATTTACACCAATTATCCTATCAATATTTTACTTTCTATCAAACATTGACTTTGAAAACTTAAACCAATTTTCCTGGTAATTTTTCGCCCTATCAAACAATTTTTTTCTCA